CTGACCCCTGACAGAGAAGTCCAATAGGCAGGGAGAAGCATGATCTGAAGCACAAGAAGGTCATGGACAAGGACAGAGATTTGAAAGCCACTGACAGTATGGATAACCTAAGAATAGTAGAGATGGAAGATATGAACATCTAAAGATAGAACCCTTATAAAATAGCAACACTTAAAAAAACATGAAGAGGAGGTAAATAATTGATGGTAAATAATTAATAATTAATGAAAGGAGAAACGTTGCATGAAATAGGAACTTATGATTCCCTTAAATATCATTCTGGCTCAATACAAATCCCGTATGCTTGGAGAAGCACAGAACACTGCAATGATTAACTATGGTTATTATCTAGAAGGCACTGCTAGAACACAGAAAAAGCCCCAAATGTATATGGAATACACCTAATTAACACTTTGACATAACAAGACAACACAAAGCAGGGTCAAGTTGGGACAAAATCTTATGCCTCACATACCTTATAAATTATCTTACACCAGAAACAAAGTGTCAAGCATCATGCACAAACCACTTACCCAAAATTGAGTTAAAGGCTGAAGACAAAACTAAACAAAAAAAGGCCCAAACAAAAAACCCTTAAAAACAAATGTCAAAAGAAACTTGTTACGACAATATAAAGATGTGTTTGGGAAATGCTCTCAGTTCAAAAATTGTGAAGTTAAATTCATTACAAGGCTTGAAAACAAAACTAGGTCCTATATCAGTGTTACCTGATTCAAGCTTTTTTAATATTTACAGGTCTAAAATAGAATTGCTAGCTTAATGCTTGTTTTCTGGAAGAAGTACTATCTAGCAAATAAACTATTTTATTTGTATTTTAAAACAATGTTGGCTCACTAGAAGAAAATAAAACAATTAAAAGTCAATCAGAAAAATACCATGAGGACCAAAACTGCAAAACTTGCAAAGCAGCATTCTGTAGAACACAATTACAAAACTGATGATGATCCTTGCATGTGGATTAGAACGGTCTGGGTGTGGAATGGGTAGAGAATAGGGCCATACAGTACTGCTAAAGAAAAGCAAACTTACACGTATCAAAAAACTACACTATACAGAGATAAGACTATAACTTACATTGGGAGACTGTAAAGGCAAAAATTACAAGGAAAGAAGGAAGACAGGCAGTCCTCCAATAAGGCATACATTCATATAATGGATCACTAGGCAATTAAAAATGTCTTATATGCGTTATGATGTGTAAAACTGTCCAAGATTATTAAATGAGAAAACAATGCTATTGATATTCTCAATAAAATGATTTGTGTCCAAAGAAAAAAGTTACACACATGTGCCCACACATACATCTGGTGTATGCACAGAAAATTCAGACATATACAAGAAATTTGAGTGGTACCTTGAAAAAGAAGAGTAGGATTGAAGGAGGCAGGAAATTGTCACCTTCTACCCTTCTACAGTCAAAACAAAATAGGCATGTGTTATGTTTGTGTTTTATGTCAAACATTAAAGAAAAAAAATCAGTATTTTAGAAGGTGAATAAAGGGAGAACTGCTATGTATAAAACCACACCAATACAGACACAATCATTTAAAATGCTTCAACAAATTCAAAAGTATGTTAAGTACAATCTCATAACCAAAAAAGAGCCACACCCACAAAATTTTACGTGGACAATCACACAGGTTTCAGTAATATAAAGTAGAAATTAAGTCTTGCAAAAGCTGTAATTTACATGTGAGGGTTTGGTCGAGTCCTCCTATATAGTGTGATCTGTTTAGACTCAATGTTATAGCTGGAAGGGTGTTCAGAGCAAACAACTTCATTTTATATTTACCTCTAGACTACTAATACCCAGTAACAGAAACCCTAGGAGTTTCTATTTCAATAACATAAACTATTTGCAGAACCCTGTGGACAGATTTATTTATTCTGAATAGATGTCTGCTTTTAAAATTTTAGAGCAGGGACCAGTCTTTTGTTTTCTGCTGTATTTTCCAGCACCTAGAGCACAGTAAACGGAGGTACTCAATATGTATTTTTTGGAGGAAACGTAGGTATGTAAGTTCTGTGCAAAACTATGAGGAATTTGTAAGTTCTGAAGTAAAAGAAAAAGGGGCAAGATTAAAATGTGGAAACTGTTTCCTCTGAATTGGGAAAGACATAGCACATGTGATCTCATGCCCACAATTTCATTTTTCTTTTGTTTCTAGCAGTGGAAGAAATAATCACAAGACTATTGAAGTCTAAAACTATCCAAGGTATTAGGAATTTCTACTTTGAAATTCACAATAAGCAAGATACCAGAAAGTATTATTGAAAGACACTACAGACTAGGGCTGAAACTCTGACACGAAGTCCATTACTTGTGAGATGAGGAGTGAAGAGATAGTAAGCTGGATGTTTTTAGAGACTGATGGGCAAATGAGCTGGTCTTGGCTACAGAGGAAAACCTAAGAGTAGTGTCTCTCAAATTATATGTGATGAAGGACCACTTTTAAATCCCAAACTGCACTCTTGTCACAAATATATTTTTAAAAATCCGTTAGTAGAGAAATGATCACACACTTTAATGTCACAGCAATATCAAATTTCCATAGAAGTTTCTAGACATTCTTTAATTTCTATACTGGTCCAGAGAGACACCAGATAGCACTGACCTAGGGTTTTGTTTTTTAATGTCAATCTGACCTGAAATTTTGCATTTGCCCAGAAGGTCTAACTCTGAGTGAGAAAATTCAGCTCTTTTTTTCCTCTACTCACTAATGAAGACAATCCATAACAATTAAGAGATAAAAAGTAGCACAGAGACTTGTCATTAACTTGTTTTAATTTTAAAATGTAAAACATCACATTATCACACTGCCTTAGTAAATTAAAATTATACTTTTGAATGCAAACTTCAGCATTTAAGAATCTCAGCTCAACTTGAAAACTCTGCTTTATTTTGCCATTTAGCTTAGAAGATACAGGATATAGACACTTAAAACTGTATACGAAAATATTCACTTAATCTATGCACCTCTAAACTCCTGTACCTTTGTCTCCATGTTCTCAAAAAACCCCAAATGATTAGTTTAGCTGACTGCGAACAGAGTGGCCTCGGGGGACGCTCCATCTATTATACATTTCATTACCAAAGGAAGTAAAATTTAAAATGTCCTGACCTATAAACTTACTACAATCTGGTGCAATTTACTATAGCCCATCAGGTAGGCTCTATATCACTGAGACTGTATAATGTGCTTTACAGGATCTCCAAAACCAAATTTCCAGGATTCAAATCCATACTAAGCGACTTAAATCCTCACTGCTTGTTTCTTCATCTGTAAAAGGGGGATAACAGCACCTACATCAAAGGATTATTGTGCAGGTTAAAGTGCGTGTGAAGTGCTTAGAACACTGCCTGGCACATAAGTACTAAGTAAGGATTTTGACTTTTTGATTCTTACACAGTATGCCTCAAATCCTTCTGCAGAACTGGAATTATTAACAAAATTGGTTAAATGAAATATGGCACATCCCTACAATGAACTACTATTTACCCATTAAAGATTATTTTAATAATCTACTATGAAAATATATTTATTTATAATATCCTGTTAGAGAGGGAAAAGTAACTTAGAAAATCATGTACAATCTAATCTTATATTTAGAAAAGATGCTAATAAAGTTAGGAAATTTGCAAGTCATTGTGGTACTTAAGTGGCATTTGCCAAAAGTGACTCAGAATCATTCCTCCCCACCCATACTGGGAAAAAGACTTAAAACCGCATGTGATTCTCAGATGGTAATAATGAGGACAATCAAATGCTATAAATTAGGATTTTTAAAAATTTAGAACTCTGTACATTTAATGCATTATTCCTCCTCTACCCGCCAAAGCTGGTACTTCTTAAAATGGACTGCATCCTAGAATTAAGGAAATTAAGCATTAATTTCTAATAGATATATTCCTCCAATGCCACCCATTGCCCACACACTACCACCTCCACGGTCACTTTTAAGCAAGCTCTTGAAGTGCTCACAACTACGTATATCAACAAAGACAATAAATCACCTTAAACAATCACCCAACCTTAAACAACAGATATTACTAGGTACAGTATATTCAGATTATAAACACAAAAGACTCAGTTATTTCCAGACTACTGAACAAGGGGTGTTTGTGGTATTGCGAGTACTCAGATGGTAGCTTGTGGTACACTTTAAACTGTTTTAAATTCCTCAATAAAATCAATACTATTAATTTCATGTTTATTTTATATAGGATTTTTGTCAAACTTAGCAGCTTTAAAATGATTCATTCATAATCACCATCTAAAGATGAAATTTCCTCTCAATTAATGGTTCTCATTCTACCTACAGTTCAACTTACCCTTTTGTCTACAATATAACCATATTTCATTTTACGGGATCTGAAATATACAGTAATTATAAACAAACTGTTTTCAAATTTGCTTTCAAATGATGCCTATAAAGAGTAGATCAAGTTTTCAAGTTTACATAAATCTATACTCCACCAATTCATCATTATAAATACAAGCATTCATAACCTGTTTATTCTATTTAGACAGCAACACTAACAAAATTCTTAATGCATACGCCCACCACCTGTAACTCTTTCGCTATGGTGTCATTTGGACACTTGAAAAATAACGTCTCAATTCAGCAACCAAGTTTTACAACTGCTATTCCTACCAATCAAATGGTGATGCACCAAGGTCGCAATTCTCATGAGTTTTAACATATTAAGAGTACATTGTTTACCTAAGACTGAAGGACTGTGCCTCTTACTTTATTAAAAAAAAAAAAAAGATAGCCACGTCAATTTAATTCCATATATGATGCTACCTATTCAATTTATTAAAAATTAAAATAAACGTAATAATCAAACTGATGCTCCAAACTTACGCTATTCACGTGGAAGACACTACAAGAGAAGACACCATAGAGACTGCCTTGCAATAAGAAGTACAAATTCCTTCTATAGAGATGGAGAAATAAAAGGAAGGACAAATCTAGTTGTCTAAAAGACAATTCACTGTACACATTTTATTTACAGTTTTGTACACTGTCTTAATATGAATGGGACCGCTTTTCTACTTGAGCCATTTTTTAACCAAAGCAAAATAACCTAAGTATAACAAAGTGTTAAAATACAGCATAAAGATACAAAAACAGACATACTAATTCTAATTAGGAATGTAATTATGATGTTACATTTTTTATAATCCACAATTATGTTTAGGAAATCACACAAACATAGATCACTGATTTGAATGAAATGCATAAATTTGTAGCAAAGCTTTGTAGTTACAAAAAAACAAAAAAATTACCAAAGAATGCACAAAATTAATGTTTATTCCACCTTTGTGTCATATTCCTGGATCCTTCACCAATGTTACATGAGGAAAAAAACAAAAGCAAAACAAATGAAAAACTGAAATCAGAATCACTAATGTTATCAAGTAGGGAAACAAATAAATTAAAATCTAGCAGCCATCAGCAAGAGTACAGCACAGACAATGCTGTAAAAAGAAACAAAGAAAATTGTTAGAAAACTGTATGCATCCTACTCTTTCAAACCAGCAAAATATGCTCCTGCATACAATGGAACATAAACAGAATCGTTCTCTTGTAAGGTATAGAAATGCAAATTCTTTTCTTTAATATTGTAGATGGGTCAAATGTGTTTGTAATCGTTAATTCTTTTAAGCTATTACAGAGTGGGCCAGGAACACATTTATGGATTCTGGGGACGATGTGTACTGTAATTCTTTGATTGGGATAGTGGACACTCTAGCCAAAATTAAGAAAAAAAAAATATATGAACACAGAAGTACAAGACAAAGGCGAATGAGACTTCTCTTATATCTTAGCAACATTTAGATGGAAATCAAATTTAAATGCAGTCCACTCTGCTTTTGAAGAGGCTTTGGTTCAGCTCCCAAATCTCGATTGCTTGACGCAGTCTCCTATGAGAATACTCAGAAGGTGTCTTCTTAAACAACAAACCTATTTTTAGTGGTGGAGCCGCTCTTAGTAGCTGTGTCTGCATGGGACTGATAACCAATCACTATCTTTGGAGGAAGTCCTAACCTTTCCTTGTATACCCTCCTAGAAGATGAAAAAGAAGAAAAGTAGCCATTAATTTTTATTCAAACATACACCCCAAATCCAGTATTATTACTCTTTACATTAAAAAATAATACCTAGAGAGTGAAATAGGAAATTGCACACCTTTTTCCTTTTAGCAAAATTTACTCTTCATAATCACTTAACCAATATTTGAGAGTCTACTATGTATCAGGTACTGTGATAATTATCAGTAAATTAATAATAAGCAAAGCAAGGACACTCTCTAGGCTCATGGTGTTTATAGTTTAGAGTATTTGATTATTTGCAAACAAATAATCACAAATACATACGGTGGAGCTGTATCACATACATAATTAATGTATTCAAAATCAATTACATGCACATTTTAATTTTCTGATCTAAAATGCTTCAATTATATTTTACATATAAACCTTAGTAAATATTGTATGTTACTGCAGTTACATTTACCTTACCTATTACCGACAAGAATTCACACACAAAAATCAAACACTGTGAAGGCGATTTATGATATTTTAAGGATAATTTAGAACATAACATGATTTCTGCCTTATATATTAACTCTACAACCTAATTTTCAAATAAGATGTGACTGAGTATCAATGAGGGTAAGCACAGGGGTTGTGATATTAGCAAGGAGGATCTAATCTCCTCTTTGAAATCAGAGAACTCTCTCCTTTTAAAAACTCATGAGGTCAAAGTATAATGCTAAGAGAATGAAGCACATCTGAAGGCCAAGGAACAAAAATAAGGCTGTGTGGCTACAGCTCACAAGAAAGGTAAATATGAGAGATAAGGCTGACAAGGTAAAATTGGGGACAGATCATCATATGATCTTACGAGAACATCATAGGTCAAGTTAGGAATCTGGTATCTGAGAAAAAATAGCAAAATTTTAAAAACAGGCACCAAAATGAAACAAAAATAAAGAGATATATATGGCAAACAACAAAAAAAGAGATTTTCATGGAGCTAAATACTCTAGCAGTATGATACCAGGAAATTTTACTCATGGTAAACAAAAAAATACGGTAAACAAAAAATACATGGTAAACAAACAAAAAAAGATAAACAAAAAAGAGATTTTCATGGAGCTAAAAACTCTAGCAGTATGATACCAGGAAATTTTATTCATACTCTACCCTTCAGAAGACTTTACTACCTTCCTTCGAATACAGTATTTAAAAATAATTTTATAACTAAAATTATAACTATTATCAGATTTACATTAGGATATAATGTATTACCTTCAATTATACTTAATCACTAAAAATGCCAGAATGAGCACTGAGCCATGCAACTTAAAAGGGTGAAAAAAAATTTTTCCTTGAAAAAGTGAGGCCAAAAGTTTTACAGAGATTTCAAAAATGTTTAATATTGACACAAATAAAAAACTTTCCGAGGAAAGAAGTTCATACTTAGTTTCTTTAACACATTTTCAAAGAAATAGGAGACCCCCACTGTCAGTAAGTTTTAAGGCTGACAGAAAGATCAGGAATATGGTGACGAATCAACAATCAACCTTCTCTTATAAGAAACCCCGTGGAGAATGAAACCTGGAAAATCCCCACATCTTTTAATCCAGAAAGGAATTATGTTCACAGGAGAATTCATAATGTTTGAAAAATCAACATGCAAAGAGGCAAACTAAACATATTGTGACTTATGACTGGTACTTAATTTTAACACAAAATTTAAAGTCCAATTTTACTAATTTAAACATAGTAAAGAGAAAATCCTAGTTAACATTGACTGACATTTGGGGGGGGGGGGGGAGTGGGGACGACAGGCAACTTTTGCAAATAGTAATATTTGCCAAAACAAAGTTTTAAAATTTATACATGTGGGTTTTAAATATGGACAAAACCAAGCTACTGTCACTTAAACTTCAATGGCAAATGCCAATATTCACCAAATTATTGAGTATTATACATTAGCATTATGGTTTTAAAGTAGGGCAAAAAAGACATATTCTCATATGCTAAATAATAAAATGCTACATGCTAAAATAGTGATTATATACCCCACTGCTAGGAAAAAGAAATTTTACAGAAGTGAAAAAAATACGAATAAGACACTGAATACCAATACACAGCAGTTCAAGATTATAAAAGTGCTCATGAAAAAAAGGAAAATAATGATCTACATAAATACTTTTAATTTAAAAAGTATTTCTGCTTTTAGTTATCTATTTTAAAAGAAGCACACAAAAAGCAAAACTTACCCTATATGTGTAACTGCTTCTCTGTTTTCACATTCAGTAGTCCATATTGCTATTTTATCACCTTTAGCTCTAACATTAACCACAGCTCCACATACATCATCACTGTAGTCATCAAAAGACTCTCCAATAAGGCACAGCAGCTTAAAAGAAAAAACCCAAATCTCAAGTTACATTCAATAGATGATAAACAGCTTATTAAGCTGCAAATGTCTCAAATATTTGTATATATACAAAACTGAAAAACAGTTTTTAAATCAAGAGTCGACTTTCTGAATGCGTAAATTATATTTATATATAGTTTTTTGTCCTGGTCTTTAAAAAATTTGTTAATTTGATTCTTTAATACCAAGAACATGATCAGTTTTGTTAACTTTTTTAGCAAATTGGGCAACTGATGTCAGGGCACATAAAAGGTGAATTATTTTATTAATATTCACTTTGCTCTGCTGCTGCTTATACTTGCCAGCAAACATTAATGGAGTAACTGAAAAAGCTGCTTAATTGCCTCTTGTTCTTATTTTTCATGAACATTTTCTAACTTTTAAAAAAATTGTAGTAAATACATGACATAAAATTTACCATATTAACCATTTTTAAGTGTACGGTTCAGTGGCATTAAGTATATTCACATTGTACCACCAACAATCTCCAGAACTTTTGTCATCCTGCAAAACTGAAATGACTTTTTAATGCAGAATTCTAAAATGGTAATTACTGATAATCTCTCCCAAAAGCAAAATTAAGTTTTTTTTTTTTTAACTTATTTATTTATTTGGTTGCACCAGGTCTTAGTTGCGGCCAGTGGGCTCCTTAGTTGCAGTTCTTGGGCTCCCTCTTTGCAGCTTGCCAGCTCCTTAGTTGCGACATGCGAACTCTTAGTTGCGGCATGCATGTGGGAACTAGTTCCCTGACCAGGTATCGAATCCGGGCCCCCTGCATTGGGAGCCGGGAGTCTTAACCACTGCACTGCCAGGGAATTCCCGCAAAATTAAGTTTCTTCTTTAAAAAGCCATTCACTGAAATATTTATTATTGCTCAACTTAGTAAGGGCTAACTATAAACCAGACACTGTCAAGTGATAGGAATACAAAAGAGACTATAATCCCTGCTTCTAAAAGCTTGGGGTTTGAAAACTTTCACTAGAGAAAATGCCTATTATCTCATATTTAACAAATGTCATATGAAGCCAAAAGTCCCAAGTTACATCACAACATATAAGGTGAATGATATCAAGCTACAATTTCACTGTTTCCTTCACTGATCTAAAAAGTTTAGTATACAGAGCAATACTCTAAGAGGATTGTAAAAAAACTTACATCATACAAAATGTGAGAGGTTACATAATTTTGAACTTAATGAGATGACCAGGATGACCTTATTCTGGAAGGTGAGTCAACTGCCGATCACTTTCTGGATGTGTAATATGTGGTAGGGAGTTTCACTGTATTAGTATGTAAGAAGTATACAAGATTCACAGGACAGAACAAAATTAAGTGCTGGCTTAGCTATTGTGGGAATCCTTATCTCATCTTGAATTAAGTAACCAATATAAAATGTAACATAAGTGAAGTTTTAGTATTCCAAAACAGCTTTATAATTTTAAAACCTTACTGTCTCTAGCCAAAAGCGATCGAGGTCACTTCGTCTCTGCTGTTTGTTCAATGTAATGAGCCATCGTCCTCCTCGTTTGTTTTTCTCATCTTCCCACATAGGCTCAATACCATCCTACAAGGTTAGGGAGACAACAATATGAGACAATATTGTTACTTTAACTTGAGATCACCACTAGAAACAGCAAGCAACAACCCTATTAACTATTTACTTTATATCCATAAAAACTGTTAATTGATGTAGTGGGGAAAAAAGCACATAAGACTTAAAGCAAAATTAGAGTACTGACTTGGGCACTTATTAACTATCAAACCTTGGGTTTCACTTAATTTGGAGGCTCTAAAACATTCTGAGTAACAGATACCTTTGAGAAGCTGTATACATTTCTATACCTAGAAAATATATTAAAAACTTACACAATTTCAGAGAGCTAATGACTGTCCCACCCACTACCAGCTGACAAAACTCATAAATATCTCAAGGACCCACACACTACAGGTTAAGAATTCCTGACGAACTCTGGACTTCAGTCTACTCAAATATATAAAGAAGAAACGGATTGGATGACCCATTTGGATTATCAAAGCTCTCCTCAAAATCAATCACAGTATGTGCCCATACAGTCTGACTCACTTAATTTCAATAACTGGGTTCGCCAAAAGGTTCGTTTGGTTTTTTCCCTAAGGTGCATCTAGTAGCGCTCAGTTGTCTTTAACTTCATTCAAAACAATTTCGTTAGATTGTATGTGACAGCTGTCATATCAGCGTGCATTTAAAAAAAGACTTATCAGAATTGGTGAATTTTCATGTAGCCATTTTAATATTGAAGATGGAAGAAAAAAAGCAACATTTTCGGCTTTATTATTTCAAGAAAGGTAAAAATGCAACTGAAATGCAAAAAAAAGAATTGTGCAGTGTATGGAGAAGGTGCTGTGACTGACTGAATGTGTCTAAAGTGGTTTGCAAAGTTTTGTGCTGGAGATTTCTCGCTGGACGATGCTCCACGGTCAGGCAGACCAGTTGAAGTCGATAGCAATCAAATCGAGACATTAGCTGAGAACAATCAACGTAATACCACACAGGAGAGAGCCAACATACTCAAAATTAAGTGCTGACAATCATTTGCACCAGCTTGGTTATGTGAATCGCTTTGATGTTTAGGTTCCACATAAGTGAAAAAAACCTTCTTGAACATATTCAAGCATGCAATTCTCTACTTAAACATAATGAAAACGTTCCGTTTTTAGAACAAATTGTGACAGGTGATGAAAAGTGGATACTGTACAATAATGTAGAACGGGAGAGATCCTGGGCAAGCTAAATGAACCACCACCAACCACACCAAAGGCTGAATACGTTGTTCAATAAAGTTCTTGGAGAAAATGAAAAATATGCCTTGAATAAATACAATTAGAGAAGAAAAACAAAAACAATTAGAGAAGAAAAACACTAGACGTTTTGAGGAAGGGCAAAACAGAACAATGCTAATTTAACTAGACAACTAGACCTATGAATTATGGGGCTTCAAATGTAGTTCTATTACTTTAAAACATGGTTTAACTAAATTAAATGTGTATTTTATTTTTACTTAAAAAAATGTCTTTTATTTCTACCAAAAAGGCACTTTTTGGCCAACCCAATGTTTATACTAAAATAGGGCAAAATATATTTATGCTAAAACCTGGTAAAGCTAATTTAATTATTCTCCAAGCACCACAACATTAACTATTCCTAAGTTTATGGCAAGATTTTTTAATGAATATCTGAATGGTCCAGTCTTATAATAAATATATGAAGTCACCAATTAAACATACCTTAAAAAGTGAGTAGTCACAGCCAGGCATTAAATTACTAGACAACTGGATATGGTTGTACAGACTAGATAAAAGAAAAGAACAATTACAAACATAGCATATGTAATGCAAAGTTTAGGTGCGTACATATACATTCAGAGAATATGATAAAAATAAGATAAAAACTCATGTTTACTTCCCGCCCCCATGAAGTCAATTTCTGAAATGGACCAAACAGATCTCAGTAACAGTCAGCTTCAAGAATCAACATCTGATGATTTTCAAGAAAATATTTTTAATAATTTTATTCTGACAAGTTTGATGTATTAGTTAACTTAATACATACATATGTATATACAAGAAACTGAAAAGAGAGGTATGAGGTGGCTTTAAGTAGATGAAAGAATCCGTGAGGCTAATGAGCAGTTTTAAACACACAAAAAGACAAATCAAGAGAAAGCAAGACAAACTCCCTGACCATCAGGATTGCATGACTAAAGTAAGTCAACATTATTATCCTTGAAAGTATCCAAGAGTGGGACAGATCAATGGTTCCCAAACACCACACACCATTACTAGTTTAAGTCAGCATAATAATCTTTTGGGGAGCTTTTAAAAACAAAACAGGACTTCCCTGGTGGCGCAGTGGTTAAGAATCCACCTGCCAATGCAGGGGACACAGGTTCGAGCACTGGTCTGGCAAGATCCCACATGTCATGGAGCAATTAAGCCCGTGCGCCACAACTACTGAGCCCGTGTGCCACAATTACTGAAGCCCGCCTGTCTAGAGCCCGTGCTCCACAACAAGAGAAGCCTCTGCAATGAGAAGCCCACGTACCGCAACTAAGAGTAGGCCCCGCTCACCGCAATTAGAGAAAGCCCACGCACAGCAAGACCCAACGCAGCCAAAAATGAATTTATTAAAATAGCAACCAAAAAAAATAAAAATAAAAAAACAGTTCCTTACCCTACTTCCTGAGATTTTAATTCCTTAAGTATAGGATGGAACCATAGAATCTGTACTTTTAAATTACTTCCCAAATAGTAATATCTAACTAAGGATAATAACACCATCCATGGTCACTAGTCATATAGCTAAGATCATCACTTCTGTATAAAATATTGGAGACAGGCAAAACATTCTTACTCTGTTGCCCGTTTTATAACAGTTTTACTGTGATAGACTTCAGGAGATCAAATGATCTAGGCTTCTACCTTCAGGCTAGTGAAATATCTAAATTAAAAATTTTAAAATTTCTTAAAAAATGTTTTCAGGGCTTCCCTGGTGGCGCAGTGGTTGAGAGTCTGCCTGCCGATGCAGGGGACGCGGGTTTGTGCCCCGGTCCGGGAAGATCCCACATGCCGCGGAGCGGCTGGGCCCGTGAGCCATGGCTGCTGAGCCTGTGCGTCCGGAGCCTGTGCTCCGCAACGGGAGAGGCCACAACAGTGAGAGGCCCGTGTACCGCTAAGAAAGAAAAAAAAAAAATGTTTTCAATTAAAAGTGACCACTCAAAGTGGTCTCAATATACAGTTTTCTCTAATTATTCTATGCTTTGTTTTCAGTGATTCAAATGCATACTAAATGCCTAATATGGGCAAAGCACTAGAAATATACAGAAAATTGTTTCTGCCCTGGAGGAAGTATACATTACATGCATAAATTTTCTAATCACAATCTGTTAGTCTGTACGCTACACTCAGGGAGTTAAATTAAACATAAGAATCACATCACTGATATGATCCAAAATACACCAGCTGAACAAATTAGAATACTTAGATAACTGCTAGGTAATTTACAGCTCTTAAAAATGTTTTCAACAAGTTGTATCTTTCATGTTCTCAAGTAGTTTCTCCCCATACATTTTTCAAGCAAATAGACATACTAAATCAACTTTGTTTTTAAAGAATCAATATTCCAAAACTTCCTGAAAAGAACTTTGTCATTTTAAATCATATTTTGAAGTGATGCAAAGATTTAAGACCCCGAAATCTTAACTATTTGCTAAATTGAAACAAAATCTCAAAAATATTTCAACTATTCTTCTTGATGTTGACCACGAAGTATAATGAGATTAATAAACTATCATCAGAGATATTGTCATTCTTTGACAAACCCTGAATTATGAGCAGTTCAGCCTTTGAAATCTTGGAATCTCTATCACAGGAAATCCAGATATTATACTGGAAAGAATCTGCAGAAATAACGGCCTAAGAAAGCTCTGGAATACCTAAGAATAGGGCAAATGTATCTAGGCAACCAAGAAAGGGGACAAGCTCCTAAAAGTTGTTGGAAATTCTAGCAACAATAAAGGATTCTCAACGAAAGAGATCTCAGGACAAAGAATAGAGAATAGGCAGAGCTAAAAGACGACAAGACGGAAGCTTTCTAAAACTGATGAGGAATAATCACCAATTCAAACAGTTGTGAGAAGATGGACATACAAAAAGGTGAATATTAACTGTTCACAACTTACCCTTCATTTTGTGAATGCAACTTAAAATGAAAAATTACACAACAAACATCCTAAAATGAATGGTTACTTACGCCCAAAAGTCTTCAACAGTATCAAACTTAGAGATCAGCCGAAGGTTTGCTTGCCAAGTTTTGCTTTTATCATTTTTAAAAAACCAGAGTGCCCATCTAAAAACAGAAAGTCAGTGTCAAAAAAAAAAAAAAAAAAAAAGACGTAGCTTTACATCCATGTTCAAAGCAGCATTATTCACAACAGCCAAAAGGGGGAAGTGTCTATTGTCAGATGAATGAACAAAATGTAGTGTGGAATATTAAACAGCCTTAAAAAGGAAGGAAAGTGAAAGGAGTCCATCAAAGAAGACAAATACTGTATGATCCACTTGTATGAGGCACCTAGAGTAATAAAGTAGAATGGTGGTTGCCAGGGGCTAAAAGGGAAGGGGAATGGAGAGTTGTTGTTTAATGGGTAGAGAGTTTAAGTTTTTCTGCAAGATAAAGAGAGTTCGGGGTGGGGGGGGGAACTGGTTGCACAACAATGGGGGTGTATTTAACACTACTGAACTGTACATTTTAAAATGGTTGATAGTAAATTTTATATATGTGTTTTACCACAATTAAAAATAAATAAAATAAATAAAAATTTTATTTATAATAGCAAATGAGTAGTTTTCTCTATTTCTTTCATTTAAACAGTATATATTTGGGGAGTTCCCTGGTGGCCTAGTGGTTAGGATTTGGGGAACTGAGATCCTGCAAGCCATGTGGTGTGGCTAAAAAATAAATAGATAAATAAAATGAAAAGTATGTGTTTTGTACCTACTATGTAACAGATTCTCTGCTATACTTAGAGATCCACTGAGGCTCATCCCACAGGGAATTCACAGAAATGTTGTACAGAGACAATTACAATGTCCTGAGTGCTATGATAGAGATAATTAAGCACAGTTATTTAAGAAAAACAGACTAGGAGCACTTAACTGGAAAGGTTAAGTGGGGAATAGGGAAGCTGAATTTACAGAGAAACAAGAGGAGAGAAATGAGAGCACTAGGAATGGGGGCGGGGGGGGGGACTCATACAAACGGGAATATAATACAGGGATTCATTGAATAATGTTACCACAGATATATTCTGAAATAATGCATAGTAGTTTCTATATATCTGTATATACTTTGTCTAAAAAAGTTTTATTCTAATACTTTGAAGACAAACTCATGTCACATAAAAGTTATGCTTAAATATTATCATCCCAATATGATTCATCTTTAGTAAAACTGTATTTTCTGAATTACTATACCACCTCTAAGGAAATTTCACTTACTCATTGATAAAAATGTTGTCTGAAGACAGGTTTCCAAGTGGACATATATTTCATAACTTTATGGTTAATGCTTGATAATCTCAGACATAAAAATGAGATGCATTTCAGCACCTACTTGATAATGTATATTTGCCAACCCACTCTCAAGGAAAAAAATTTTTTTAAAAAAGCAAAGGCAGAAAAACTATTAAACATACACACACAGTGTCAAGTATTATACTCTGGATTTCTAAAATTAATTCAGTCTTTCCTCAAAAATTTAAAAATAGAACTACCACTGGATCCAGCAATTCCACTTCTGGGCATTTATCAGAAGAAAATGAAAATGAAAACACTAACTTGAAAAAGATATGTGCCCCCCCTCCCATGATAAGCAAAGACATGGAAGCAACTTAAGTGTCCATCAAGGCATGAATAAGGAAAATATGGTTTATATATATATACATTTTCAATGGATTATTCCGTCATAAAAATGAAGGAAATCTTGCTGTTTGCAACATGGATGGACCCTGAGGACTTTGTGCTAACTTAAATAAATCAGACACTAGACAGTAAAAACAAATACTGTATGATCTCGCTGATATGTGCAATCTTAAAAAAAACAAACCCCCCAAAAAAACACCCCAAGCTCACTGATACAGAGAACAGATTGGTGGTTCCCAGAGGCACAAGCGTGGGGGAATGCATGAAGGGGGTCAAATGATACACACTTCCAGTTGTAAAATAAATAAGTCATGGGGATGTAAAGTACAACATGGTGATAATACTGCATTGCAAATTTGAAAGTTGCTAAGGGACTAAATGTTAAAAGTTCTCAACACAAGAAAAAAAATTTATAAATATGTATTGTGACAGATGTTGACTTACTGTAATCATTTCACAATACATACAAATATTGAATCATGTTGTACATCTGAAACTGTTACATCTCAATTAAAAATAATAAAATAAATAATAAAATTTAATTCCATCTTTAAAAAAAAATTGCATTCAGCCATTAAACATATAAAGATATATCCTAAGAAAATAACTGGATAACTAAGCAAAAATGTTTGTACAGGAATGTTCTTAATTTTGGAAAATTTTGGAAACATCTTAAGTGCCTACCAACAGTTCTCAAAATGTGGTTTACAGGCCCCTACGGGATCCTAAGGCCCTTTCAAGGAGTGCTGATGAGTAAAAGCTATTTCATAAAAATGCTAAGACATTTTATTTTTCACTGTGTTGATATCTGCACTGATGATGCAAAAGCAACAGTTGGTAAACCTACTGGTGCCGTACACAGCAAGAATGATACAGTGGCACCAATTTGTACTAGCAGTCACTGTATCCTTTATTATCACCAACTCGCACAGTAATAATGTCAGTTTCAGTTAAGAATGCCACTGAATGGAAACCAGCAGTAAAAACTACTGGTTTCATTAAATTTCAATCTGTGTACATGTCTTTTTCTGCACAAAAAATATTTCTGCATACCAAATATCAATACGATGCTTAGGCAATTGAGTTGTGAGGTGAACTAGTTACTTTTTTCAAAGAACACCACTTTTACTTGGAAGAAGATTGGCTGATCAACCATGATTATTTCTTGAAAAATGAACAGACTGAGCCAGCTGCTAAAATTTGAGCTTTCAGGAGAAAATCAGAATTTTGGAAAGCATGTGTCACTGTGCACTTAACAATTTAATGACACTTGACGATATTTCTGATGAGTTTAGGTAGTGATAATAATTAATGTTATTGTTTTGATATCATATAATGAAAAGTGCCAATATTTGGAAGATCTGCAAACTCACTGAACCAATATTATCCAAATGACCAGAGGTGTGCATGGGTGAAGGATACATTCCAAATGCAAGATAGACCAATGGATTTTAATGTAACAGAGTAGAAAAAGTTCTTGGATATGGTTTCAGATTCTACAATTCAACTAACATATAAGAAACCTAACATCAAAGGAAGGAGATAGTCATAATTATTTTAAAAGGCTATTAAAATTTCTCCTCCCTTTTCCAACCATGTACCTGTCTGAGGCCGTATTTTATTCTCATACTTTCTCTGGAACAACTTATCTCCAAAGACAATGCAACTATGAAGCAACTATGAAAATCCAGCTGACTTCTATTAAGTCAGGCACTTAAAAAGATTTACAGAAATACTTCCCACTATGTATTTTTTATGTATTCTTCCACTACGTATTTTTTATTTTGAATAAATTTTTTTCATAAAAATTATTTACATCAACATGCAATGGGTTAAGTACATATATAATTTTACATTTTTAAACATTTATTTTCTAATATAGCAAATGAAAATAGATAAAAATCTACATAACCAAAGCACTGTGGAATCCTCAATAATTTTTAAGAATGTAAAGGGGTCATGAGCCCAAAGAAGTTAAGATTTAAATAAAATATAAATAATATAATACATGCAAGAGACTGCTAGGCAGCTATTAAATAGGATAATTGTGTGAGTAAAATTCTCCTAAGACTGACATGAAACCCAGAAACCATGGAAGCAAGCTGGTATTTGATTACATGAAAATCAAAAACCTCTAAAATAACATAACTCCTTAGACAATGTTGAAAGACAAATGATTTGGAAATGCATTTTCAACCTAATTCCCCCCCTTGAATGGGTGAACATCCCTAATACACAATGCTTGGAAATAAACTTGGGAAGATAACCCAAAAGAAAATAATAGACAAAAGAACTGAACAGACTGATCACAGGTAAAAAAAACAAATAAGCGATTGTTTTCAACAAAAATGTCTTGAAATTTCAATAAAAGAAATGCAAATTTAAAACAATAAGACACTGTTTTCACAAATCAATCTAGAACCAATCTGACAGGCAATTAAATTCAAGATTGATGGTGTTGCCAAGGATGTAGAAACCAGTAACCCTTAAACTGTTAAGAGTCTAATAAGCTGATAAAGGAGGATAATTTGGCAATCTCTACAAAGGTAGTTAAAAGGTAGTCTTTAACCTAAGAACTCTGAAATTTTACCCTAGATATATTCACACAACTGCAAAAAAATATATAAGGACGTATACTTTATAGCACTGTTTGTAAATAGAAAAAAATTCTATATACACATTAATGTAAGCCTGATAAAATACGTGACTATATATTCATTTAATACAAGGCAGTGGTTTAAAATAATGAGTCAAAACCTGCATATACAAACAAAAAAACTCAACAGTATGACCATCTATATAAAAAAAGTATATATATGCATATTGAAAGGTTTTGGAAAAATACAAACCAAATTTTTAACACTGACTATTCTGGGGAATGGAGAAAAGCAAAATGGGGAAGAAGGTATCAGAAAAAAGCGGAGAACTTTTACTTTATATACTTTGTACCCCAATAATTTAATCTTTCTTATAATAATATAGTTTTTTTTAAAAGAAAACATAATTCTGCAATATTTACAAGAAGTAAATAATGAAGAAACTACCAAAATTGGAACCAAAAATGTCTTAGTTTTCCATATGATACTATTTTACACAAGAAATAGAATTGATAAGAGAAATTGAAATCCTCACAAACTTCATTTTAGGATTTAATCAGTTTGTTCACTGATAGGACAGGAATCTCTTCTCAGATTTCACTTAAGCTATGAGGGATACATGCCTTGATTACTTCTCCCCACAAAACAGCAACACTAAGAACTGTGTTCACAGTCAAGGAGACAGAGCTAGCTTTTTATATACGACTGAAAAGATGAAAAAACATACTTTAAAAGTTTGGGTACTGCTGCTAGGTTAGCTAAATGAAATTGCCACTTATCAACATTCAACTATTACCTTTGGCACAACGCTTTCCTGAGGAAGAATTTTTACCCTTTATGGACTATTTGACCTTTGACATCTCACTCACATTGTCTAGAGAACTGCTGAACCACAGGTCTCCTATGAAAAAACTACTGAATGTGTTTGGACTATTATTTCAATAGGTCTACCATGATAACGAAGAAATGATAAAAAATAAAGGGACATAAACGGACAACACATTTTTCAGATAAATGAAACTAAATTATAGACAATCTCATGGGATCTTTAAGGTAAAGAGAGTAAAAGGCCTGGGAGTGGGGGGAATGAAAGGAACTGAAGATCCTCATAAGTTAATTCCTTTAATGAAAGGAATTAAAGATCCTCAAAAGTTAACTCCAATTTACTTTCCTCCAGATTCTTACAATGTTTCTGAGTTGCCATTTTCTTCCCACCATCAGTTCTCAGGGAATGTGTTAATTTTCATCATGTAAGCCAGAAAGACAATCAAGTAAAAAACATAAAACATACTGGGAAGTGGTAGGGTAGAGATAGGAAAAACCATATACTGAACTATTAAACTACTACACAGTAACTATGAAAACTTAACTCATCCTAAACTCTCCTCTTTTCCTCACCTAACTTCTCTTAAATACAACCAACCAATCTCCAGCCTCCACAACCCCTAGCTCTCTTTTCTCCTTCACAGACCAACTTCAAATTGCCTATTCCTGCTCTATACATTTGTATACTTTCTATTCACTCTTCAAACTATGCCAATCTTCTTCCATCACCTGCTCTACTAAACTTTCTCCAATGTTAGCAAGGACTTATTGTTCAATCCAATGAACATTTGGCCTTTCTGTGGCAAATATGCTTATCTTGTCCTAAAATAAACCATCTGCTTGGTTTCCATGACCAAGCACTCTTTCCTAGTTTATACAGTTTATATGTCTATACCCTTCAAAGGCATTCTTTTTTTAAAAATTTTACTGAAGTACAGTTGATTTACAATGTTATGTTAATGTCAGCTATACAGCAAAGTGACTCAGTTATACATATACATATATTCTTTTTCATATTCTTTTCCATTATGGTTTATCACAGGATACTGAACGTAGTTCCCTGTGCTATACAGTAGGACCTTGCTGTTTATCCATTCTAGATGCACCAGTTTGCATCTGCTAATCCCAAACTCCCAGCCCATCCCTCCCCCACACCCCTCCCACTTTGCAACCACAAGACTGTTCTCTTCATAGGCACTCTTACTCAAAACTATCACCTATGGGCTTCCCTGCTGGCGCAGTGGTTGAGAGTCCGCCTGCCGATGCAGGGGACGCGGGTTCGTACCCCGGTCTGGGAAGATCCCACATGCCACGGAGCAGCTGAGCCCGTGAGCCATGGCCGCTGAGCCTGCGCGTCCGGAGACTGTGCTCCGCAGCGGGAGAGGCCACAGCAGTGAGAGGCCCGCGTACGCAAAAAAAGAAAAAAAAAAAAATCACCTATGTGCTAATATTCCAAGCCTCTGTTGTGAGAACTCATTTACTACTGTGCTTTCAATTATCATCAATTACCAATGAATTTCAAACCACTCTTTCAAAGTTCTACTATCTGAGTTCAAGATTCACACATAAAACTGCTGCTAGACATGGGTCATCCAAATGAAAATGGAATCCTTCACCTATCTAAAACTAGTCTCATCTAACTTTTCCCTCCAAACCTGTCCCATTCACCATTTACCTTGCGGCCTAAGTCAGAACACTTATGTGTCAGAAAGCTTACCTGTTCTGTAAAGGATGTTTAATATAGTGCTCTGGGTTAGCAACCTCCTGATTAGATTCTGTTTTCTCTTCTTCTGTAGGTGGGGGATTAGGAGTAGGGGTGGTTTCCTAGTGGAGAATAATTAAACATTATGAACTTCTTAACATGAAGAAATAACATTAAGAAATTTCTTTATTTTAAAATTTTTATTGAAATATAGTTAATTCACAATGCTGTGAAAAATTAATTCCTACGACAGCAATACGCTAAATAAATCTGAACCAATATTGTCCATATTTTTTTTAAGGAGAATGAATTAACAGCAGAAGCACTGGATAAAATAGACCACAGATCAAACTCTAAGCACCAGACTCTTCATTCTAGCATCTCTTCATTATGAGCAAAAGGTTTCTCAAATTTAAAAACATAATAATAATAATTTTGTATATTGTTACCTTCCACTTACACATTTTAATATAAGATTGTTAGAGACCATGGAAAAAAGTTGGGAAAATCAAGTACCTTTCTTAACATACTAAACACGGTGCATAGTGGGAGTGGGGGAGATACAATTAAAGTTTGGAGAGTATATTAACTATATCACAATGACACAAACACAAAAATCTTTATAAAGTGATCAAGGCAATACTACACAGGTCCTTGCTTTCATGTTACACTGTTATTATATATGGTGACAAAGTTCAGCAACTTGTCATTTTCAATTGGCCCTAAGCAAAAAAGCTGGACATTGGCTTGAACTTAAATTCTTCTAGGCTAGACATAATTGTCATCTAAAAATGTCAGGGAAAAAGGGAGGCTGGGAATAATAAGTGTTCTCCACATTAATCCATGTAACTCTTCACCCTACTGTAAATTGGTATCAACAGATAGCTAAGAAAAGGGACCAGACGCTGAAACAAAAGCTGATACAAAAAAGGAGGGCACTGAAACAAGGGTTTGGATATCAGATTTAAATCCAACTAGCAAACCAATACAGATATATGTTCACATTAACAACATTCTGTAAATCAGAGATGTATGATCTAAAAAAAAGACTTCAGGGACAGGTGATACACATTTTACAAAATAAAATACATTTTTCTTATCAACAAGACACCTCCAGTAAGTACTTTTTACTAGCCTATGAAGTCACTCATAGCAAGGGCTTTATCTTGACTTTGCTCACAACTGTAATGCCAATGATCACAACGCTACACCAATAAGAACTTACTGGCTTGATTACTTAACTGAATAAATTTAAATGTTTACACAGAGTAGTTAAGGCCATAAAATTTACACAGAGTAGCCAATGCCTTAATAGCACCAGAGCACCAATCATTTTTACCAGCATTTCCTCATCACAATCAATTTACATCTTCAAATAGATGATCATTACCAAATGCCATTCCTTACTCTACTAGCTTAAAATTAATGATGGTCTCCAGACAGAGGTAGTCTGAGTGAACAGAGAAAATAGCCAACAGTTAGGGACTGATAAGACAGGGGGTTTGGGGAACAGGGTACCAGAGAAAAGTTAGCTGCAGAGGAGTGAGCCTCAAAAATGTATGTAAAAATCCCTGAAGTCCTTGGCTGTGACTCCTAAACTGAGATGTTCGGAATGCCAACTCCAGGTAGTCTAGCAGGGAACAGCTGAGCCAAGACTTCAGAGCCTGAACAGCATCAGGAAGACTAATTCAGACCCAGCCAGAGTGGATGGTTGAAAATCCTCAACTTTCAGATGAAATCCTAGAAAGGTCATGTCCTAGGTATCAAGTGAAATACATATGCCTAACAAATCCTAAAACTAATCCGTGACAGGATCAAGGTAATCTACTGATAAATAAATTAACTGCCCCCAAGAACCAGACTCTATACTCTGGAGGAAAATAACAGAAGTGTGAGCCTCTATGAATATTATCTACGATACCTAGCAAACCATCAAACATTATTAGACATGCAAAGAAAATTTTTTATAGCAACTAATGATCAAGATATTAAACTGTCCATAGAAAGACATCCAGATAACAGATACATGATCCAGATAACTGAGTTAGCAGACAAAGTCTTAATAACTATGACTACTATGGTAAAATAGAAGATGGAGGGAATTCCCTGATGGTCCAGTGGTTAAGACTTGGTGCTTTCACTGCCAGGGCTGGGTCCATTCCCTGGTCAGGGAACTAAGATCCCACAAGCCGCATGGTATGGCCAAAAATATAAACAAATGAACAAACAAACAAATAAATAAATAAAATAGAAGATGTGGAAAAAGGATAGAAGAAACAGGAGTATTTGAAAAGGGAATTGAAATCAATTTTTAAAAAGAATCAAATAGACACTAATGAACTGCCAACTACAATGTCTGAAATTGAGAGCTTATTGAATAACAAGAAACTCGACTCAGCAGAATGTACGACTGGTGAACTTCAAAGACAGGTCAGTAGAAAATATTCAAATAATCACAGAGGAGGGGAAAACAGATAGTAAGAAATGTCAAGATGGTTAAAAAGTTCAAGGACAAGATAAGAGAGAATGGGACAGAAGGAATACAGAAAGAAAGAATACCAAAATTTACCAAATTACATGAGGGACTCAAGTCAGATTAAAAAACTGAGGCAACTCCAAGCAGTATAAATACAAACAAAACTACACCTGGGGGATTTCCCTGGCGGTCCAGTGGTTAGGACTTCGCCTTCCAACGTAGGGGGTGCGGGTTCAATCCCTGGTCAGGGAGCTAAGATCCCACATGCCTCACAGCCAAGAAACCAAAACATAAAAAAAAAGAAGCAGTATTGTAACAAATTCAATAAAGACTTGAAAAATGGTCCACTGCAAAAAAAAAACAAAACAAACAAAAAACAAAAACAAAAACTACACCTGGGCACATTAGACTCAAACTACTGAAAACTAAAGGAGGCAATATTAAAAGCAGTTAGGAAGAAAAATTTTAAAAAGACACATACACATTACTTTCAAAGAACAATAAGAATAACTGCTAACTTCTCAAAAGAAATTATGGAAACCATCAGACAACAGAATAACATCCTTGTGCTTAAGGGAAAAAACTGTCAACACTGACTGAATTCAGTGCCTAGGAGGGGACTTCCCTGGTGGTCCAGTGGCTAAGACTCTGCACTCCCAATGCAAGGGTCCCAGGTTCAATCTGGGGTCAGGGAACTAGATCCCACATGACACAGCTAAGAGATTAGAAATGAATGACACGGAAAAAACCATAAAAAACATAAACACATGGAGACTAAACAATACATTACTAAATAACCAAGAGATCACTGAAAAAATCAAAGAGGAAATAAAAAAATACCTAGAGACAAATTGCAACGAAAACACGACCATCCAAAACCTATGGGATGCAGCAAAAGCAGTTCTAAGTGGGAAGTTTATAGCTATACAAGCCTACCTCAAGAAATAAGAAAAATCTCAAATAAATAATCTAACCTTACACCTAAAGGAATTAGAAAAAGAAGAACAATCAAAACCCAAAGTTAGCAGAAGGAAAGACATCATGAAGATCAGAGAAGAAATAAATGAAATAGAAACAAAGAAAACAATAGCAAAGATCAATAAAACTAAAAGCTGGTTCTTTGAGAAGATACACAAAATTGATAAACCATTAGCCAGACTCATCAAGAAAAAGAGGGAGATGACTCAAATCAATAAAATTAGAAATGAAAAAGGAGAAGTGACAACAGACACCGCGGAAATACAAAGCATCCTAAGAGACTAGTACAAGCAACTCTATGCCAATAAAATGGACAACCTGGAAGAAATGGACAAATGCTTAGAAAGGTATAACCTTCCAAGACTGAACCAGGAAGAAAGAGAAAATATGAACAGACCAATCACAAGTAATGAAATTGAAACTGTGATTCAAAATACTCCAACAAACAAAAGTCCAGGACCAGATGGCTTCACAGGTGAATTCTATCAAATATTTAGAGAAGACCTAACACCCATCCTTCTCAAACTCTTCCAAAATATTGCAGAGGAAGGAACACTCCCAAACTCATTCTATGAGGCCACCATCACCCTGATACCAAAACCAGACAAAGACACTATAAAAGAAGAAAATTACAGACCAATATCACTGATGAATACAGATGTAAAAATCCTCAACAAAATTCTAGCAAAGAGAATCCAACACCACATTAAAAGGATCATACACCATGATCAAGTGGGATTTATCCCAGGGATGCAAGGATTCTTCAATATATGCAAATCAACAATGTGATACACCATTAACAAACTGAAGAATGAAACCCATATCATCTCAATAGATGCAGAAAAACCTTTCTTTCAACACCCATTTATGATAAAATCTCTCCAGAAAGTGGGCATAGAGGGAACCTGTCTCAACATAATAAAGGCCATATACAACAAACCCATAGCAAACATCATTCTCTATGGTGAAAAACTGAAAGCATTTCCTCTAAGATCAGGAACGAGACAAGGATGTCCACTCTCACCACTATTATTCAACAGTTTTGGAAGTCCTAGCCTCGGCAAACAGAGAAGAAAAAGAAATAAAAGGAATACAAATTGGAAAAGAAGAAGTAAAACTGTCACTGTTTGCAGATGACGTGATACTATACATAGAGAACCCTAAAGATGCCACCAGAAAACTACTAGAGCTAATCAATGCATTTGGTAAAGATGCAGGATACAAAATTAATGCACAGAAATCTCTTGCATTCCTATATACTAATGATGAAAAATCTGAAAGAGAAATTAAGGAAACACTCCCATTTACTATTGCAACAAAAAGAATAAAATACCTAGGAATAATCCTACCTAGGGAGACGAAAGACCTGTATGCATAGAACTATAAGACACTGATGAAAGAAATTAAAGTTGATACGAAGAGACAGGGAGATATAGCATGTTCTTGGATTGCAAGAATCAATATTGTGAAAATGACTATACTACCCAAAGCAACCTACAGATTCAACGCAATCCCTATCAAATTACCAATGGCATTTTTTACGGAACTAGAACAAAAAATCTTAAAATTTGTATGGAGACACAAAAGACCCTGAATAGCCAAAGCAGTCTTGAGAGAAAAAAACGGAGCTGGAGGAATCAAGACTCCCTGACTTCAGACTATACTAAA